ACCTGTAACAAACGTACGATTCAAGGTAACGAAATTAATACCACGGATCGCAGACTATCATATTGATGATGAGTTTACGGGGTTTAGAGCTTTCATCAATTGTACTTCTGAGTGGACCGTGTGATATTCAAAAACGTTCCCGGTGTACCCATATACTACTGGCAGGCCTGTGTCCGAGCTTGTTTGCCCTCAGCCGTCAGCGGCTGGTGATATGTGATGATCCGGAGTGCAACTTTTGTGGATATAAAGTTTCAGCTAGCAATTATCCAAATATACCAGACAGCTAAATTTTACGTCAGAACATTGAACCCGTTTCTCCCTCCTTTTATTTCAGATGATCGATTAGAAACCATTATATTCTAGCATTATAATGCCTTTATACATACAGCCCCCCATTATTATTATTCGATTGCTGCAACAGAATATCAAGACCCTGGACTAGTCATTTCGCAGTCTGAAATGGAACCCTTTTGAAAATGTCCCAAGCTTATTGACTAAACGGCTTTACGTGCCTGTGTCCACGCTTTAAAGAAAGTTATCCTTCGAGAGTCAGAAAATTTCGAAGTTTATATAATCCAAACCAGACTGTAAGTAGGCCTCGAAATTGTCTTTCATTCCTGAATGATAAAAGTCAAAGTATGTTGTAACGACTTGGATATTTTCGCTATTTTCCTGGGATGAGGTCTGTAGCAGTTTGCACACCCAGGAGGGTACAGATCACTTTGACAAGCTAAAATCAGAAACTGCTCTGTTTCTCGACACGGTAATGAAGTGTTATCATCTCTATCAATCTAGGTGGTAGGGTAACTGAGAGATTTCGTAAAAAACAGGGTGGGCATAATATTATTTCATGCATTGATTAAAAAAGGACAGAAAACTTCTGTGACAAAATATGTGATTGCATTTTACTACAAATGCCACATCACATAATGTAGCTATCTTACCGGAACGGAGGAGTGATGACAGTATGCAACTGCGATCGACAATGATCAAATAGAAACTGATTTTGGGTGAAGAAGGACCAATAGGGGTTCAGGTGGATAGAATTAAATCCATGGATCAACAATGATGCGAGAGATTCGCGACTCAGCTGGCCCAGACCACATTGGCTCAAGATTGTTTTTTCCGATATGATATCACGAGGCGTTGAATCTCTCGTTAAATGTAACTGTGGTGATCCCGACTTCCGTGACCGCGATTCATGCACGACTAGGTACAGTTTCATGCCATCTAATCACCGTTCACAAAGCTCGACCAATGGTACACCGGGCGAACATGACATCCGAGTTAGCACATATGATACGTCGGTGCGAACGGTTACGTGATTAGAGGATGCTCTTTCAACCAATGATATGGACTATTACATTCTATAAAACATGATCTAATTCCATCAATAAACATAAGCATTTGCTGCTATTTCATTGGTGTCCGCAGTTCGGGTTGGAGCCAATTCAGCTCTGAGCAGTACGGTCCGGATTCCCGGATTCCTAAATTCAATACTATTCCGATTACCACAGTAGACCAATCCAAAGTAGGGGATATTAGAAGAGAAAATAAGAGTGGATGAGAAATGGACGCATCACTAACAAACTCCCTGCTAGAACAAACTGCAGTTGAAGCCCATCCAGTATCAATTAAACAAAATGAGTAATAAGTTCCGAGATTTAATGGTAATGACTAAGTACATTGCGTGAAGAGGTCAGTCATACTCGAGGATTGAACTAGTCAAGGTAATGTGCTAGAAGTCAATTAAAAGGGAACTTATTGCTAAAGAATCAGTAATGTTAGACTCGTCGGAAAAAAAATCTCGTCAAGGAAACAACCTATTACGTAATGTAGCTACGCATCAGGTATGTGTGACTGGTACTTTTTGATCGAGTCAGCTACCGCAAGGAAGCTTTCTCCAGTCATTCTGTCACGGTTTATAGCTTTATGCACACTCAGCTGCAGTTTTTTGAGAGTCTCTGCTGGCTAGAGCAACACAAAACTGTCCAAGAATAATTTTGTCGGTCATCGCCACCGGTTGATTGAAAAATATGTTAAAACGACAAAATGGCCGAACTCCGACGAGTAAAACTTTCAGGCGAGTCAATTGACAAATTTCCAAATACTATGTGAATTTGACAATAAAATCATCATTCAAATTGTTGTTTGTTGGATTTGAAGTTCTTATGTCGAGATTGTGAAAACTTCAGTAGCATCGGTGGGATTCGAACCTACGCATGGACGCCGCCTACACTTTTGTACAGCGCATGCTGTACCAGCTGAGCTACTAGGCTACTGAACTTTTCACTATCTTGAAATAAAATCATTGACTGGGCTTATGTGTCAGTCGTAAAAAGTAAAAGGAGTTTTGGGGAATGGTTGGAGAACTCCAGGAATCGAGGAACGAGGTTTAAATGAGAAATAAACATATCGATCAGTCTGTAACTTTTCACAATAAGTACATCTGTATCATCTGGGAATTTGCTAAAAGCTCGCAAAAGGTAGTTTGAAATTCATGCGGTCAGATGCAGCAGCAATTCTTGTACTGAAAAAAGAATACGACATTTTTGGCGAAGAAAAGTCAACTGAATGTTATGGTGTATCAGTACAATCTGGGAACTGAGGTGATTATCAGGTGCGATTTTGACGGGTAATGTTTGGTTGAGTGACAGAATGTCTACTGTCTACTTGGTCTAAACCAAGACTCACTGTCAAACAGCAATACATGAAGAAATTGCGGCTGATCAGGCCATACTTTAATGTTTACCTATTTCTATCAGCCATTTTTATTTGTTCTTTGATGTTACGCAGTGCCTGATTACACCGTTCCGATTGATCTAATTAGTAGATTAAAGGTCTTCATGCGTCTAAGAGTTCTCGTTTTTCACCATTTTTAACCTGTCACACATGCATCCTCGAATCGACAAATTTTCATCGAGGGCATGTTCATTTTCGAGTTGGCAATTACCCGGTTTTTTGTCTAGACTTCCAACTTACCGCTCACAAAATCTGAGTCAGATAATATCCCTGGCCATACCTGATTGTTCTTTCGGCTTTACATTGTCCCTGTCGGCAGATAAACTTGATCTTGGTATGTTTCTGGGTCTAAGGATCGCAACGATACTTAACAGATCAATTATTTCATTAAAGGCTTCGCAGGTCGCTTTCATTTTTTCCACATGGGACCTTGTGTACAAAAATAAGTGGTATACCTAAAAATGACGCGCTCCATCAGAACGGCACCGCAAACAATCACACATCAAATCAAAATCAGTTTGACTCAAAAAGTAGTTTGATCCGAAAAGGGAAGTTCGACGGAATTGCATTAGCTTTTTCACATTAACCATATATGTGAATGACTGGACAAAACCCCCCTGAAAGCACACTACCGGTTGCGTAGTCCCCACCGGGACGTACTCGGCAGTCTTCCGCTACTTTATTCATATACTTGTACCCAGAAAGTGTATTTTTGTCACAATAACCTTGTTTGCAACACCGGGTAACCATTGAATAGACGGCTCTTTCTGAGCCAGTCCAATGAAGAATCAATGCTATGATTCAATGTTTTGTAAGTGGGTTAGATGCTACTAACCGCAACAAACGTGACTTGATGATCTTGGTAGAATATTTGATGATAATTAGTATGTGGATGACTGGACAAATATATATATATATATGTATATGTTTTACTGAATGAATACATGGAACATAGTTCAACCGTTAATTCATATAGAATTGAATGGTTCAGTAAATTTAAAGCGATTTTCTGGGAATAAAATTCCTCCGGGATGTGTTCTCCCTGTGAAGCGGTGTGCTATCAAAACAAAGTTACATTTGGACATAAGAATATCCATTTAAANATATCCATTTAAAGAACATGTAGTTGCACACTCTGGGTCGTAAACAGATTCAGCGAACCGAGCAAGTGATAATGGAGATAAATCTAGTTTTAAGAATCTCATTTCATTACCGTTTTTCCGTCAACTTCTCATCTGGGGGATTGCTTCAACTGACCCACAATTAGCTTCATGAGTTGGATAATGTAAATTATTTGCCCTGCAAACATAGTCGTAAATCGTACAGAGATTGATCAACAGGTTTAGGTACCCCAAGTTAATTACCTGTTAGTATCATAAGTGTGAAAACAAAGCCAGAATCAAATCACATGCGAACCACGAATCGTTACTTGTGAGTATTCCAGACAAATTGACCCAATTCAAGCTCATTTCACAATTTATTTGAACATTTTTAAACCAGACACTTGTTACTGGTAATGCAAACGATAAAGATGATGGCTGGGCAGGCTACGTGCTTCGCATTCCCAGTCATCGTCTTCCGCATCGCGCCTTATTTGCAGTTACGGCTCCAGGTTGGAAGAAACCGCGTAGAG